GGCTGTTGCTACATAAAGCACTGAACCCCAAAGGGAAAGAGCAGACTTGAGTTTGATTTCCAGACAGGCTGCAGGCCAGACTAGATAGAAATTTTCTATTTGCTTATACATTTGATGAAGGGAATTTACAAACGCTGATCTAGAGAAACATTTTATATCCTTGGCTTTGGGATTCATCCTAGCTCTAGGCACAGCCCAGGACCAAGGTCCACGCTTACTCCAACAGGGGACTTCAAAAATAAACATACCCCCTCTCCTTCTGCATCTTCCCTTCTAATTTAAGTGCTGTAAAGCCACTGAAATGGAGGATTTACTCCTCAGAGGCAGAATTATTTTCCAGCCCAGGTCTGAAGTCTCAGGAGGTTGTGTCAAGAACCCTAGCTAAAAACAGCATGACATTGATTGAGAGCTTGCTAATATGCCAAGCATGGTGCAATATACTTAAACAATATTATTCCATTTGATTCTCACACAATAGCCTATGGGGTGGTTATTAACATCTCCATTTTATTGGTGAGAAAGCAATCTGGCTAAAGCAACAAAGAGAATAAATGGCAAATTCAAACCCAGGTATGCAGACTCCATTGACTCTGTCACTCTGCCAATAGAACCCAAGACTTGATGGGTCCCAAGACCCTTCTGAATTGATGTTCAAAGACCAGAGGACAAGATCTCTGCTTCTAGAGATGCCACTTGTGACTCCCTTAGACTCAGAAACTCTATAGCACCATCCCACATTATAAACAAGGATGGACATTTGTCAACAAAAATAGGTTTCTATAATCTGCTAAAAGTAATTTATTTACTAAATGTTTCTACTGGAACACCCATTTAGCCTTAATCCTAGAATGCTCTGGATGGAGAGGGCAGTGTGCCCTGTTGTTTAGCCCAACTCTAGGGGATTTTTTTCTGTTCTCCCTGATCCTCCTTCCAGGGGCCAGTTGTCCAAACTCCCAAAGGCCAGAGATTGTCCCGAGCTCCCGCTCATTCCTGCAGCAGCAAAGACAGACAAGCCTTATTTCAGCATGTGGGAGCTGCTGAGGAGCTCAACACTGTATATTGTGCAGGAGTTGGGTGTGGGGGCAGAAGACATGAGAATCTTAGGGTGGGGAAACACGAATTTTAATTACTATATTAATATATTTTTATTAGCGTATTATGGGGGTACAAGTGTTAAGGTTACATATATTGCCCATGCCCCCCTCCACCCTAGTAGGTGTTGTTTTACACTGCTAAGTTTGTCATAATTTGTTACACAGCAATAGGAAACTAATACACCCCCACTACTTTGATTCTATGTGAATGTGATGCCTCAGCTTGGGTAGCTATCATGTAACTACAAACATCTAGAACAAAAGACAGGGCAAAAGAATTTCAGAAAGTTGGCTTTGACATTCAAGCCTCTGACCCAGTGTCAGCAACAGCCTACTGCTAGGCTTCTTATAATTTGAGAATACAAACGCCCATTTTTCAAATTCCAACAGGCTGGTATCCCACTATTCATAGAAGAGAGCACTTTTGACACAGGAAGTCATTTTTTTGAGACTGTAGGGTCTTTAGTCTGCATCCATTCAATTTCTCCAGAGAAAAATGTCCTGATCTCTTGCCTTGGTAAGGTGGGGTTGATAGCCTGCCCATCAGTATTTGGGAAGTTGGGAAGAAAAGAGAACTGGAGATATCTCACCATTCAATATTCAAACTCCTACTTAATCCTCCAGGTTTCAGTATGACAACTCATCTCTATTCCCTAACACTGTACCTAGTAATCCCTGCACTAAGCCTTTCACCAAAGAACATACACACATCTCCTCTCCTAAGGCACTGGAGGTGGGGTTGTTATGTAGGTGTATGAAATAGGGATAGCTGGTAGGTCTGAACTCAGGAGAGAGGATCGGAGGGCCTTGCTCTCTCCTATATAGGTTCTTCAGCAATCTTTTTGTTGGCAGCAACCCACACCCTCTGGTAGTCATGGGGTACAGCAGCTTGACGCTTGCCACTGTCCTCCTCTACAGGCAGTGTGATTTTACCTTCTGGCCTGCTAAATCAGTTCTCTCTCCCCTATCCCTTTAATGTGTCACAAAATGTAGTTTCTGGCTTACAGATATATTCTAGTTTCATTAAAAAATAAATGTAGCTTCATGACATTAATATTTTATTTATTTAGAGACAGAGTCTCACTTTGTTGCCCAGGCTAGAGTGAGTGCCATGGCGTCAACCTAGTTCACAGCAACCTCAAACTCCTGGGCTCAAGCAATCCTCCTGCCTCAGCCAATTTTTTCTATATATATATATTAGTTGGCCAATTCATTTATTTCTATTTATAGTAGAGACGGGGTCTCACTCTTGCTCAGGCTGGTTTCGAACTCCTGACCTGGAGCAATCCGCCCGCCTCAGCCTCCCAGAGTGCTAGGATTACAAGCGTGAGCCACTGCGCCTGGCTGACATTAATATTTTAATGCTGATCCATTCTGTCCCTTTCCAAGACTAAGAGTATATTCATTCATTCCCAGAAATGCATCTGTTTATACAGTTCAAGACAACTGGAAGCATTACTCTCTCAGAGAATACCAAGCAGATTAATTGGTGGAAGACACCTCAAATACCCTTCTCATAATCAAGGAGTTCAATATCCTTTGTGTGCCAGAAACTCTGTAGCACACCTAACCAAATTTTATTTTATATTTTATTTTTATTATTTTCATCCAAAATCTTTTGAATAAGAGTAGGGTCCAGGTTAGTTTTTGTAGCTTCAGTGGCCCATTGGCCTCTAGAGTGCTCAAACTCCCGGCCCTTGGAGTGGACACAGGGTTTGGTGTTGCTATGTGGGGTTCCTGGGGCCTTGCCGAAATGCCAGTACACCTCTCGGATCTTTCAAAGACCAGAAAGCAGGACGGTGCCACAGCCCTCGGAGGAGTCGAGGGCCAGCTGGTCAAAGGCGAGGATCTTGCACCTGGCCTTGAGGATGCCGCTGCAGGCCAGGCTGCTCACAGGCAGCGCATACACCTTCAGTTTGGGAACCTCCTGCTCCTGCACATCATCTGTCTTGGTCCCCACAACCACAGTGGTTTTGTTTTCCCAGCCAGGAAGCTTCATCTTCTGAATCATCCAGGAAAGGGACAGAGAGGGTCAACTGGTGTGACTCTTAATCAATCTCTTCAGCACAACCTGGTTGATGGTGGAGTTGGTTCGCCTGACCTGAAACCTGTATAGCTTGCCCAAACGCCTTAGGTAAATGCCCTGGCTCTGGGGCCCCTTGTGACAAACCTTTCAGTTCTTGTTGCAGATATTAACTCCCATGAGGGTGCCTCCTGCTCAACAGGCCTGGAATGGGCGGGGAAAGCCTCTAGAGCCTGGTGCCATCGTGACCCATAACCGGATTTTAGAAGTCAGTTTTGACAACAAAAAGGAAAGTTCTGATGAGGGCAACAGAGACCAGAAAGGAAGCTGTTTCATTCAGTGGTTCAGGGGAAGATGAGAGTCTGAACTTGGGTAGTGTTAGTGGGGAGAGAGAGCAGCTGGCAAACTGAAGAGCTAGTCAGAGGTAAAACTGATGTGTGAAGTGAGGGCAAGAGAAGACAGGATGGTACCTAGGATTCTGGTTTGAGATCTGAGTTTATCATGGTGTTAGTTACTGAGCTAAAGGTACCAGAAGCAGAACTGGAGTAGAAAGGATCAATTAAGTATTTTTTTTTTTTTTTTGAGACAGAGTCTCACTTTGTTGCCCAGGTTAGAGTGAGTGCTGTGGCGTCAGCCTAGCTCACAGCAACCTCAATCTCCTGGGCTAAAGCGATCCATCTGCCTCAGCCTCCTGAGTAGCTGGGACTACAGGCATACACCACCATGCCCGGCTAATTTTTTCTATGTATATTAGTTGGCCAATTAATCTTTCTATTTTTAGTAGAGACGGGGTCTTGTTCTTGCTCAGGCTGGTTTTGAACTCCTGACCTTGAGCGATCCTCCCACCTCGGCCTCCCAGAGTGCTAGGATTACAGACGTGAGCCACCACGCCCAGCCAAGATCTTCAAGATTTTAAAAGACAGACAGACAGGATCCTTGCTTTTCAAGGAGCTTACAGTCCAACAGGGGACATAAACATGAAACCAATCTGGATGTAGCATTCAGTGGTATATGTAACAAAATGGTCCAAGAGAGCTGGGCAGGGAAGAAACAGATGGGCGCTAGAGGATCTCTGCCACCCAATCCCCCAAAAGTTCTGGCTTTATACTGGGTATGCATCTTCTGTATAAATCTTCTGAGCATGGCTGCCCCCTTGGTAGAAATTACAGCTCAACATACAGCTTTCAACCATCCTTTGTTGCTCCCTTTACTCTGCTGTGATATCTGTGTGTCACCCATTCCAGTTTGCCACCTGTTTCCTGCCAAAATCATGATTGATAAAGATCCATATGAAAAGACTATTTATAGAAGTGGGCATTGTTAACAAAAAAGAAGAAAAGGAAAGTTGGGGTATCAGCACAGCAGGAGACCATTATCATCCCTAGGTCTAAGAGGCAGAGGAGGAAAATATGTTACACCACAGCCTGGTAGAAAGCTGGAGCCATGGAAGAGAGGACAACCAACAGAAGCTTTGTCATGTAAAGACCCGGTCAGTGCCAACTGTGGTAGGAGGGGAAAGGAAAAATATCTTTCTCTGAATCTCCCTTCTCCCCTCCAGTCAAAGGTTGATTTAGACAGCCAAACACAAAATAACCAGCCTATCACATCTCATTGTCAAGAACACTTTAAAAAGAGAAGAGATATCTTTTAAACTTTATTACAAAAAGTGTTATTTTAGTAATCTATTATTTTTTTAACATAGGGCAGATAGCCCTAATGTACCACCTTGCACATAGAAAATACTCATTGGCCTTCACTAGTGGAATATGTCATGGGTTGCTAATATGCCAGGGGTTGCTAAGGGCCAACCTGCCTGAACAGGCTACATGAGGACCTCACAGCACAACCCATTGTGAGGAAACGTGGTTTCTTTCTGAGGTTCTAGAATTCCCAGAGCTCTGATTCAGCATTGGGAGCTTCTGCTCACAGTTTTCTTCACTGCTCTTGGGGTCCCCACACTAGGGCCCCTCTTTCTCTAAATCCAGATGAACAAGTTTCTCTTACTGATGAGTCTTTACCTGCTTGGATCTGCCAGAGGTGAGTATTATCTAGGCTTTGGGTAGATGCATAACAGGCCTTCTTTAAGGTGTTTCATCCATCGAAGAAGGAAGACCAGTCTCTTAGTTACCCAAACTAATCTGACTCAGAATCAAGAGTAGCTAAATAAATCCAACTCTGAGAGCTCCTAAACCAGTTGATTTTTCCTAATTATCGTTTTACAGTCTGAGGGGCCCACTGGCCTGGCACAGTCTTGTCCCTACTTCTTTTAGCCACTCAACATTTGTACCTGAAACTCTGGGAGATGGGAGAGATGGCCTACTGGTTCTGTAGAAGTCCAAATGAAGGTCTGTCCCTACCAATTCAGTGAAAGGCTGCTTATGTAGTTAATTTACCAAGGAAAGACAGGAGATGGGAATGTGACTTGCCTAGAAAGCCATTTCGGAACATGGCACTGATATAGGCCAGGGACCTTACAAGCCTCTCCTTTATGGCTGTGTTCTATCCACCCAGTTGTCTGTTATCTCCTCTTTCAGGATCCCCCATTCATGGTGGGCTGTGTTTCCCTCCTGCCTCCTACCAAAGAGACAGGCCATGGGGTCTGAGCTGTTAGTGAAACGACAATGTATTTTCTTTAAGGTCAGCTGTCAGAGATTTTGCGTTCTCCTTTGTTGGACTTTGAAAAGTTGACTCAGAAATGTAGATACATAGCCACCAGATAGTAGTATGTGCCAGGCACGTGGTGAAGCAATGAATCATAAACTGTAAGAATGACTAAAATTTACTGTGCTTTTTCAAGCCTCCCTTCTATATCAGAAATGTCTCTTTAATAAAACTTGTTAACTACTAAATAATCAATCAAGTAGATACAATTTATGTAATAAATTTTTAAAATAAAGACTTCCTAAAAGTCTTTAGTCTTACTAAATCTTACCTTTCTTTTATCAACATATTCCGACCCTAGTCTTACAGAAAGTCATTGATTATAAGTACTGCAATGCTCCCAGAATATATGTTTATTGCAAGATTCTTCCAGAACTTGAGTACTCTGGGGCCTTCGACTGCCTAAGCCTCAAAGATCCTGTAATTCCTCTTATCTTTTGGCTAGGATTACTAGATTGGTTATTGTAATCTACTTGTCCTCCTCTAGACAGCTCCATCTAATCAAATTGTCTGTTTGGTGCTTCCATTCAATTAAAATGAAAGTTATACTTGAAAAGAATATTTGTCTAGCAATCATTAATGAGGTAGATTAAAGGTAAAAGAGACTGGCCGGAAGAGAACAACCATTTAAGAATTTGGTAATTCCCAATGTAGAGAAAATTAACTGGGTACCTAAGCAATGATGCACTTCCCAAATTATCTTATTAAATACTCATGACAACTCCACAAAGTGGGTGTAAATGGTACGTTGCAAGGAGTCTCAATTCAGAGATATAAGCCAAGAATTTTTTATATTATTTATAACAACTTTGCTTTCTGAGTCCCCAACCACATAGATTGGGGATTGAGTGTGAAAAACTCAATTTGGTAAAAAACTTTACCAAATAAAGGTGCCTTAATCCTTTCTGATAATTTTTGTGAGCTCATTAGATATTTGTCATCATCTACTTTAAAGTTGATCCTGTTTGAAGGTTTAAATCTTCCACCCCTAACTTAGGCTAGAATTACTCAGGTATTGAAAACTACTGGCTTTCTCTCTCTCTCCTTTATCTCCATTCTTTTTGCCTTTCACCCACAGAGGAATGGGAGGGAGAGTTGGTGGTGGACTTCTAATTACACTAGTGACAGTACATTGATTTCCTGTGGCTGACTTCATCAGGGAGACACATTCATTTCCCTTCAGGCACTTCTGGTTATGAGAGAGTGGGTACCCCTGTGCAGTTCTTAATATTGTGGATCTTAAAGTTCTTCCCTTCAATCCCAGAGACGGTCTCTTAGGGTACTTAGCTGACTTCCCCCAACGCTGCACTATCTTCAGGTACCTGATCTAGGCCCACAGAAAACCTAGGAGTCTCACAACATTAGCCTCACTCCATAGGAAAGTAGTCTTTTACCCCGTTTTCTCTCTCACCTTTACCATCTCTATTCTGTTCCTTCTTCATTCCAGGAACATCAGGTCACCCTGATGAACCTCCTGGCTCTATAGATCATCACGCTTCAATTCAACAACTTTCAGGTGAGTACTTTTCACTTGCAAACCCTTCAGATGCTGAGGCTTTATATGAGACTGCTTCAAAAGGGAACACTTTAAGTGAGCATGGTTCAAGTGAGCATGGTTCAAATGAGCACGCTGTGGCTGAGCACACTTCTGGAGAACATGCTGCCAGTGAACACACTTCAGGTGAGCATACTGCAAGTGAACAGTCTTCAGGTGAGCGCGCTGCAGGTGAACAGTCTTCCGGTGAGCACGCTGCAGGTGAACAGCCATCGGGTGAGCATGCTGCGGGTGAACAGCCTTCGGGTACGGCTGAACAGCCTTCGGCTACGGCTGAACAGACTTCCGGTGAGCAGGCTGCGACTGAACAGCCTTCGGCTGCGGCTGAACAGACTTCAGCTGCGGCTGAACAGACTTCCAGTGAACAGGCTTCGAGTGAGCAGGCTTCGGGTGAACAGTCTTCCATTGAGCACACTGCGGCTGAACAGTCTTCTGGTGAGCATGCTGCTGCTGAACAGTCTTCAGGTGAGCATGCTGCTGCTGAACAGTCTTCAGGTGAGCATGCTGCAGGTGAACAGTCCGCTGAGCATGCTGCAGCTGAACAGGCTTCAGGTGAGCACGCTGTGGCTGAACAGACTACAGGGGAACAGCCTTCAGGTGTACCATATTCAACCACACCTTCAGGTGAGCAACATTTGGATGGGTGCCAATCCTTGCCTTCAGGTGGGATGTAAGGAATACATCAAGAAAACCCAATTTTAGGGAAGGAGTGTATAAGAAACAATCACTAACGCTTCACAAACAGCTCTTCCAAAGACTCTCCAGGTCTCTGCACCATAATACCGAGAGGCACAATCCAACTTTAGTGGGAGCTTGAAGGCTAAACAATTTGGAGGACTCCCTTTAAGAAAAATAACAAATATAAATGCCAGTAGCTCCTCCAATTCAATTCTCCATAAGAAATTATGAATACAAATGCCCAGTTTCCCTGGAAGGGGTTCATGGAAGTGAATTCTGAAAACTAACCTTCAGTAGCTTTATGCTAAACCTGCCTTTTAACAAACTATGTTAGAATGCTATAGTTTTGCAAATCTTATAAAGAGATGTCTAGCACTACAGCTAGTGGTTATTTTTGTTTGTTGAACATAGAATGCAAACCTTTTGTCTGTTAGATCTAGAAATAAGTTCCCAGGACAACTGCAATTCTATGGTTCTTACTTAAAAGAGGTTGTTCAGGGAAGAAAAACAAGACCCAAAGTTTGATGACTCAAGTTATTACCAGACATAAATACTTCACATTTTACCACACTGCATAAGTATTATTCTTCTAAATTTTCAGATGAGAAAAGTGAGGCTAATATAATAATGCCCTATGTCACATGGCAAGAAAGTGGCAAGCCTTGGATTCAAACATAGGTCTGTTCAAAGCCCAAACTTTTTCCACTTCTTTGTGCTTCCCGATCTAGGGGGTTAGCAGTAGAGATACTAAAAGAGGCCATATGGAAGCATTTCAAAAAGAATATCATTAGTGACCTTCAATATGGTCAATTTGAAAATGGACAATGATGCAGACTCTTTACGGGATTTGCAATGTTGGAGCATTCTAACATAGCTTATTAATCAAATGACTCCAAATGTTTGTGCCTTGTGAGTGAGAGTAAGGTGGGGAGTACAAATGGGACCAATCACGTACTTTGCCCCTATTGCATCAGACATAACAGAAGGGCATCTAATTACAAATGTCCATGAAGCCAATGGAAATACAGACTGAAATATAAGTATCAGAGCAATAAATTTGGGATTCATCAGCAATGAGGATGGTCATAGATGAAGCATAAGAATGAAGGAATTTCCTCTGGAACATCTCTGTCAGACACAGGGCCCTCCGATCCCCAACAAGAACTCAGAAATAAATGTGCTATATCCAGGCTACTTATTGCCCATCATCCCTCCCAGAAGTGTGACTCAAGGTTATACAACTGGTCCATAAGGAAATTTCATCAAGCTTATGTTAAATTTTCAGGCATAATATTAAGTTGCCATGTATGCGCTTATATGAATGATCAAGGAAAATGTCTTCGTGGAGAGGGAATTTGCACCACTCAGAATTCCCAGCAGTGCATGTTAAAGAAGATCTTTGAAGGTAGGTGGGGACTTCATGAGGCAATCTTTACCAGAGAACACATCAACCACTTTAAGTACTGATGGAGGCTGGGGCCTAGGAAGGGATCAAGGAACTAGAAAATTCAGAGCCTTATGCTTTCAAGGAGTAAGAGTAGAATCCCAGGTACCGATGAAGAGACAAAAGGCCCTTTTCTGTAGTCCCAAGACTTCTTAAAAAGAGGCAGGGGGACTGGTAAGCTCAGGACTGTGTCTGTTTTGTTCATGTTTATATATTCCTGGGACCTAAGCACAATGTCCAGTATATGGCAGGCATTTAGTAAATATTAAATAAACTAATAAACAACTGTCTACAAGTTTATGTTTATAGGTTGCCAGACCTGTCTGACTATATTCCCACACCTTTCGACCCTTACTCCCACTCCTCATCCATAAAGGGATCTTGGTTGCTTCCATTCCATGAACCACACTCCCCTTGTAATCTGTCTGCATTATGATAGATATCTATTATATCTATGACTAGATATCACTAGATATGCCATTTTCCCCACATTTCTACATGTGCGCATTCATTAATGTGTCAATAAACATTGATGACACATACTATGAGCCCTTACAGAAAGATGAACCAAATATGAACTATGTACAAAGAGATTATGGTCTCATGAAAGAAATAATATCACAAAGAAGAAAATGGTTAAGTGTCATAAGAAAGGCACACATAAAGTGCAGGGAGTTAAGGGCAAGGAAAGATTAGAGGTGCAGGAAAGCCTGGGATAGAGGTGGTATTCATAAAAGGCTTTGGGGGAACATTTAAGATTTGGGCCAGTAGCTCTCAATTTTGTTTGCACATTAGAATCACCTGAGCAGCTTTAAAAAATCCTAATGCTCAGGCTGCACCAGTACAATTAAATTAGAATCTTTGGGGATGGAATCCAGGCATCAGTATATATTCTTTAAAGCTCCTAGACAATTCCAACATGCAGTTGAGATTAAAGAGAAATACTGATTTAGTCATACAGCAATGGTTGATGAAGGATATTCCAGAAACAAGGAATTATGGAAGCAAAGAAAAGTACAGAACATAAACAGGAAACATAGCAGTTTCTTCAGGGTGGCAAGGAGGGAAGTAGAACAAGAAAAATTGGGAAAGGCCGGTTGAATTTGACTAGAATTTTAGAGCAACTTGATAACGTTAATGCTAATAATAGTTCTCCTTTACTCACCATCCCCCATGTATCAGACATTATAATATATATACACTTTAAAATACAGTTTTTCATTTAATCCTCACAAAATAGGATTATTTTTTTCCAGGCTTCCTTTGTGAACAGGATTCTTTTTTTCCGTTAACAGCAAGGGAACTGAAATTTAGAAAGTGAAGTAGCTTGCCTAAAGACATATTACTTATTAGGAAAGGGCAGAGCCAGTATTCCATCCAGGTTGGTCAAATCTCTTAAGATAGATCACTCTGAAAAGTTGGTTAGAGTGGACACAAGAGAACCTGTTAAAGGGCTATTGCAATATTTTAATAAAAATGTAACGGGAACTTAATAACAGGGTAGAGGCTGAGAAAAAGACTTTAACATATCTCTCCCACTTTTTTCCATTCATTCTGTATCCCTGCTTACATCCTACACTTACTCCAGCTGTACAAGGCACCATTTCCTAAACAAAGTTTCATGTTTTCATGTTTTTCCAGCTATGCTTCAGCCTGAAATGATCCTCCTTCCCCCCTCAGGACTTAGCCAAATGCTACCAATTCTTTATAGCTTAATTCAATATCACTTCCTTTCTCAGATCTTCCTTGATTCTATGCCCCCACAATCGAAACATCAAAATTAATCACTTATTTGTTAACAGAGCATATAACATGGCATTTCCATCTTATCTCATGTTAATATAATCTGTCTCAGTTCCTGACATCAAAGACCTTGGATGTTATTAATCTTAGTATTCTCCAGTGTCTAGCATTGTTCCTTACACACAGTAAAGGTCCCTTAAATGTCTGATGAATGGAAATGGAGTGACAGAAAAAACCATACATTACATGAGTAGAATTGACAGATCTTCACAACAAATTGAACAGAAAGGGCAAAGGAAGGAATCAGAGAAAAAAGAGGTTTTGAGAAGGTGGTACAGAAAATATGTAAGGGAAACTCAGGCAAACAAGCAGGTTTGGGGAGAAGGGTGATGAATTTCATTTGTGGCATAGTTTTAGATGTCCTTAGCATACCTGCATGGAGATGACAATCAGTTAGTTTGAAATGTGAGAATTCAACTTGGGAGAGCAGACATAATTGGATCCAGAGTAGACAAGCAGTAGATAAGACCTTGTCAGGAGAAGAGTATCAAAAAAGAGGGTGTAGTCAACAATATCATGTGCATGCAAAGAAGCCAAAGAGTCCTGAGAAAAGGCTGGAGAATTTGATGAGTAGACCTCTATAACCTGTAAGAGGGAAGTTTCAGCACAATGGGGTCATGATTCAGAGTGCCAGGAGCCAATATGTGAATGGGAAGGAAGTTAAGGTGATGAGGATAGTCAGATCTCTGGAAAGGAAAGGACAGAATAGCAATGGTCAAGAGAAAGTATTTTTTAGTTTGGGAGAACTTGAGCATGTTTGTAAACAAAAAAAGGAGCCAGTAGAAGAGATTGAAGATATTAGAGGAGTGGGAAACTAATGAGGCCAAGGTCCTAAAGAAGGCAAATAGAAGGGAAGGGGTGAAGAAAGTATATACAAATGGAAGTCTTCCCCATCCCTGCCTAGGGGCACTGCAGACCATGGATAAAAGCTAAGGTTGGAGTAGGAAGCTTTCTGCTTATACAGTTTGTCTCTGCTCCTTTCAGGTGGAAAACTCCAATTCATGGTTCAGGGGTGTGAGAACATGTGCCCATCTATGAACCTCTTCTCCCATGGAACCAGGATGCAAATTATATGCTGCCGGAATCAACCTTTCTGCAACAAGATTTAGAAGCCTGTGCCCTTGCTTCTTGTTCTGACTTAGGCAGCAAAAAGGCTCCATCACCCTACATAGCTCAATTTATATTTAGTTTCTTCTTCAGTCAACAACTAATCACATCTGCCTGAGCATCAGACAGGATATTCAAACATCTTATCTTTTCTCTCCTATTCATGTCCTACTATCCATTCTTCTGTCCTCTGTTTTCCCTGCTTCAAACTCCCATTTCTCAAAATCCCTGACTTTTTTTTTTTTCAATAAATTCCACATGGTTAAATAACATAGGCTCCATATGGACTTCTTTTTCCATCAGTTCAGTTGTAGCAAGGTCAGCCTGAGCTTTTTCCTACCTCCTGAGGTCAGCCTGAGCTTTTTCCTACCTCCTACCTTTCACTTTCTAAAGTGAAAGCATTTTATAACTACTTCATATTTATGAAAGTGAAGGGTCTCTTAGGGTAGAGACAAAAAAAAGCAATGTGAAGTAGGTATTAAACTTTTAGAGAGCTTAAACAATATTGCAGGTACTTCTCTCTGACCCCCCACCTTTCCAGCCCTATTTCCCCCACACACTTCCATTTATTACAAGTATAAAAAACTCAACCGTTCTGGCCAGGCATGGTGGCTCACATCTGTAATCCTAGCACTCTGGGAGGCCGAGGCGGGAGGATAGCACAAGGTCAGGAGTTCAAAACCAGCCTGAGCAAGAGTAAGACCCCGTCTCTACTAAAAATAGAAAGAAATTATTTGGCCAACTAAAAAAATATATTTATAGAAAAAATCAGCTGGGCATGGTGGCACATGCCTGTAGTCCCAGCTACTCGGTAGGCTGAGGCAGGAGGATTGCTTGAGCCCAGGAGTTTGAGGTTGCTGTGAGCTAGGCTGACACCATGGCACTTATTCTAGTCTGGGCAACAAAGAGAGACTCTGTCTCAAAAAACAACAACAAAAAAAAAACCTCAACCCTTCTTTGGCTCTTGACAGTTTTCAATAGTGCACTATTAACATAACAATAAATGATTCCTATTTATTTGCTATATAAATATGCAGCTGATAATGCTTAAATCATCTTTCCACACAATGTTAATGGATCATCTACTGAGCAAAGAGGGGCAAGTGGAAATACTAAACAGTCCCTCATATTAGTGTTATATTCTTCAAGGTGTTTTGACATAACCTCAGAAAAGCACCCAGAAGTGCAGATTGGAAAGACATCATCTTTATTTTATAAATAAGGAAATATGACATAGAGATGGTTCATTTATTCATACTCTATGTTGTTCCAATTTACCAAGGTTACAAAACTAATGAGAGTGAGGGCCAGATTCTAAAACCTAAATCTGCATAATCTCAATCTGAGCTGTTTCCATCACATTATGAATGTTAACCACAATGGTTCTTTCAAGACCAAAATCAATCCTCTCCTCTTACACAGTCCATCTCCTTTCACAGCCAGTGCTTCCACATAGCTCTGTTTAAGGGCTTCTGAGATCAGCTGGGTGGTCTTACCAATGTATTTTACAAAGCAAAAACCATTAATTTTTATTAATTCCTATTTATCTTTTTTTTCTTTCATGGATAGAGCTTTTGGTATCATGCCTAAGAACTCTTAGAACAGTATACCAAGAAACAAAGGCATTTTTTTCCTGTATGTAAAATTAAAAATTTTAATACATACACATTATGGCCCCTCCCCCCAAAAACATATTGGTAACAGGCTTTCCACTGGCAATACCTACCTGTAGGCTTGAAGGAAATGGAATATATTAAATTTCTGAGTGAAAATTATTTTGAACATATAATCCTGTTTATAGACAAAATAGTATTCTAAAATAAAGGCCAAACACCTAGAACTAAAACTCCAAATGAATTCTCAACTTGAGATACAGTTTACATGGAAGCGGGGAGAGAAATGAAAGCTTGCCAACATCGTTGACACTTATTTTGATGTGGGGTATAAATAACTGCCAGCTGTAGGTGTTGAGGAAAAAATACAAGTTCAAATACGTTGTTCAAACTGAAGGGTAGGGGAATTCTGGCTTCCATTTTTGGTGGAATAGTTTGGTTGAACTAACCCTCCTATGGATAATAATTATATATTAATACTTTGGACAAAAAATAAAAAACAACTATTTGAAAGTTCCTCTAAAGTAACTGAAGAGAAATCACCCCTAAAATGACACGAACAGCACTGGATGAGATTTGTTTGTGCCTGAGGGTACTTCTCAATCCATGCATCACAAGATGGCAAAAAGCCACAGTCTTACTGGTTTGAAGTTTCAGAAAACATAGACTACATCTGGCAGAGCAGCTGTAAAATTAGGAGTAAATCCTGGAAAGAAGAGAGCCACAGAGGACAAAACATCCAAATTTGAGGATAAACTCTGACCAAATTCTTGGCTGACTACTGACTCCAGAAAGCTTGACAACAATAACATCTAAAAGACGAAAGAACCAAGCAGAGATTTTTGTGGTGAATCTCTAAAATTCACTGTTTACTATGTCTATATGTAACAAAAAAATTATTAGACACAGAAGAAGGAACTGTGACCTGTAGCCAAGGGAAAGAAAAGCAATCAATAGACCTTCACTACAAAATGAACCAAATATTGGAATTAATGAGTAAAGGCAACAAGAGATATGTACAAGAACCTAAAGAAAAACAGTGCCAAATGAATAAACAGACAACAGATCTTAACATAGATAACTGAAAAAGAACAAATGGCCAGGCATGGTGGCCAAAGTATACAACGAAGTATACTTTAAATGGTAAATTTTGTGATACATGAATTCTATCTTAATAAAAACAATTTTTAAATAGAAACAATTCCTAAAGGTTTAGAAATTCAGAAACATAATTCTAAATAATCCATGGATCAAAAAACAAATCATAAAGATATCAGAAAAAATTTCAGCTGGGTAACAAAAATACTACACATGAAAATTTGTGACATGAAGAAATGGTACTTATAAGAAAATTTATAGCTTTAAATGCTTACATGCAACACATATAACTGACACAGGACGAGTATCTTAAATGTACGTATTTATAGGAAATGCAGAAGATAAGAGGAAACATATGAAACTGTTCCAGAGCAATGCAATCTGCAAATCTATACTAAGGAAAATCATAGAGAAAACTAGCTGGATTCCTTAATCGATGCACTGCAATGGAAAAAAAGAAGGGGGAAGATGAAAAGGGAATTTATAGACTAAAAACCATTTAAAAGACATCTACCAATTGACATTTTTGGACTTTATGTGGATTTTGATTCAAAACAAACTATAAAAAATAAGCATTATAACATTTGAACACTAACTGGATATCCACAAAGAGTTGGAAAAATAATGATCTTTTCAATAACCAGTTCTAAGTGGATAGCCATATAGGGGGAAAAAATGAGACATAATCTCTACCTCACATTATACACACAAAAACTCAATTTGAGGTGAATTGTAGATCTAAATGAGTCAAAAAATACAAAGCAAAAACTGTAAGGCTTTTAGAAGCTAATATAAAACCTTCATAATCTTAGAATGAAAGATTCATATGAAAACCTTCATAATCTTAGAGTAGGGAATGAGTCCTTTAATAGAAAATATTAATAAAAAACACTAGCCAGAGGAAAGTCTAAGTAGGACATTAAAATTAAAAATCTCCATGAAGTGTGGAACAATAAGCCATATAACAAAGTATATATGTAATATGATACATGTAAATTGACAAAGCAGTAGTATGTTAAACATATGAAGAACCAAAATTATTAGGAAAGAGACCAAAGAACAATAAGCAATAAGAACAATATTGCAAAAAGATGAACAGGCACTTCGTAAGATGCTGAATCTCATTGGGAACAAGCAAATTAACACCACGCAGACATCATTACATACCAATAACTTGGTAAAACTTAGACTGACATCACCAAATACAGGTGAATATTAGAAACACTCATTCTGTTGTCATGAACATTCTTATACTTTAGTGTTTTCCCAGTAATTGCGCACTCTTCTCATATGAAAACATAAATTGGTCATTTAATAGGAAATGGTTTGTCACTATGCTATGAAAAGTTGCAGATATGCATATCCTGAGACCCAGCAATTTCGCTTCTAGGTATGTACCCTAGATGCTAGGGCCTAGAGAAACTCATGGACACGTGCAAGAATGTGCCCAGAAGAATTGCTTATAATAGCATCAAACTGTAAATAATCCAAATATTCATTAGAATAGAATGGACAATTAGTGGTATGTTCATAAATAGCATACTATATAATTAAAATCATTGAATTCAGTACAAGCAAATGGATATAAAGAAAAATCAACACAAAAATACAGCATAATTTCATTTATATAAACTTCAGAAACAAAAACTATATTAAAGATGCATAAAATAATCAATCTATTTTATTTGAAGATGCATAAATAGCTGAGAAAACTCTAAAGGAAACCAAAGGAATGGTTATCACAAAAGTCAATCTTGTGATTACTTCTGGAGGAAGGAAGTGAGTAGTTATTAGGAGGGAGTATATGGGAAGGTTCTAAGGGCCTGCAAATGAGCTTTCCTCAATTGAGCTGTGGTTAAATGATGTTAACTTTACAACTGCATGTTATATTGTACATATTTTATGTATTTATATTTATCTCAACACACACACACACAAGCATAGGTTGATTTTTTCATCAAAATTTTAGCTGTTATCTTCAGATAGTAAATTTCTCCTCCCCATTATTATTTTTAATAATGGGAGTCAACTCCTTCTCTTAATAGTATAATAAACACTGTAGTAAAATTATGGCATCTTATATTTACTGAATGCCATTTTGTGAAAATAGGACAATACATTTTTCATATATATTAACACATTTAAGATTAAAAATAGGTTGGGCACAGTGGCTCACACCTGTAATCCTAGCACTCTGGGATGCTGAGGCAGGAGGATCGCTAGAGGTCAGGAATTCAAGACCAGCCTAAGCAAGAGTGAGACCCCCACCTGTACTAAAAAAAATAGAAAAAATTAGCCAGGTGTGGTGGTGGCATGTGCCTGTAGTCCTACCTACTCAGGAGGCTGATGTAGGAGGATCACTTGTGCCCAGGAATTTGAAGTTGCTGTGAACTAGACTGACGACACGGTACTTTAGTCCGGGCAACAGAGCAAGACTGTGTCTCAAAAAAAAAAGATTAAAAAGAACTCTGAAAGGTTCATACTATCAGCCTCTTTACTTAGGCAATCACCAGTGTTAATGTAACTGTCAGAGCTAGTCCAAATCTGAAACTTAAAGATTCCTCATCATTCTATACAAATTCCCACCATTCTACACAAATTCCAACAGCTGATAGTTTTACTATCCATCTATTCACCTTCCCCTTATAATAATCTATGGAATTTTCTTCATTTGATATTCAATTTATTTATTCAACATTCATCCATTTATTGAACAAATATTTACTTAGTACTTACTATATTCCAGGTCCTGCTCTATATACAGGATATACAAGGGTGAAAAGGAATGGCAAAATCTCAGCTTACATTTTGGTGGGAGAGACGAACAATTTCATATAGTGATCAGTTCTATGAAGAAAACAGAATAATGTGATAGTAACTGAGGGTGGTAGAAACATTTGGGGCTGAGATTTGAATGTTTAGTTAGCCATGTGAACTACAGGAAGGGATTCCAAGCAGCAAGGCCCTGAAAGGGGAATGAGCTTTGATGAACAGAAAGGCAAGTCTGCCTGGATTCCTATGAGCAAAGAGGACAGAAGGTTAATCACATAGGGTCAGAGTTTAGAACCCAGTCTTGATGCAATAGGAAGCCATTGGAGGTTTGTTTTTTTTTGTTGTTTTTTTTTTTTGAGACAGATTCTCACTCTGTTGCCTGGACTAGAGTGCTGTGGCATAAGACTAGCTCACAGCAACCTCAAACTCTTTAGCTCAAGCAATCCTCCTGTCTCAGCCTCCTGAGTAGCTGGGACTATAGGCATGGGCCACCACGCCCGGCTAATTTTTTCTATATATATTTTTAGTTGTCCAGATAATTCTATTTTTAGTAGAGATGGGGCCTCGCTCTTGCTCAGGCTGGTCTCGAACTCCTGAGCTCGAGCGATCCTCCCACCTCGGCCTCCCAGAGTGCTAAGATTACAGGCGTGAGCTACCACGCCTGGCCCCATTGGAGGTTTTTAGGCAAGGAAGGGTCACAGTACAATTTATATTTTAAAAAAATAATTTAAAAAGAAAGAGACGAAGGGAGCTGGGCAATGGCAAAGGTTGAAGGGGGAAGACTAGTTTTTATTACAGAAATCCAGAGGGGAGATGAAAGAGTTTGAACTAGGGTGGCAACAAAGGAAATGTAGAGAAGTGGACAGCTTCTGGATATATTCTGAGGATAGATCACATCAACTGAGTGCTGATTTCTTTGTTAAACAGATATTTATTGTATGCTATAATGTTATCAGGCACTATTCTGAATGGTGGGGATACAGATCTAAATAAGACAGATAGGGTCTCTGACATCAAGAAGCCTATATTCTAATGGGGAAAACAGACATTTAATAGCCAAATAAAAATATCCTATAATATCAGGAAATAAGCATTATGATGAAAAATTAAAAGAAAGAGAGTGACAGAGGAGAGTATTATTTTAGACAAGTCAGGGAAAGACTTTGTAAAAGGGACAATTAAGCAGAGACCTAAAGGGATGCACAAGCAACACAAGTATTTGGTGTCCTTAAGGGACATGGAACATCAAGTAAAAAGACCCAGAGGAGGGAATGTGCTTATATCTTGTGAGAACAGCAAAGCCAACATGGCTAGAGCAGAATGAAGGAGGAAAGTGGCAGATGAAGTCAAAGAGGTGGCCAGAGGACACATCACATAAAACTGTATATAGTTCATACATAGAATTTTGAATTTTGTTTTAGGTGTGATTGAAAAGCCATGAGAACTGAGAGTGGGGCAGGTATATCTGATTGACATTTTAAAAGGACCATTCTGACTGCTTTTCTGGAAGATAAACTGCTGAGGCACAAGTAATAAAAAAGGAGAGACAACAATGTCTCTCTAGACTCTAGAGTGGTACCAGCAGAGGTGTGAAGTGAAAGATGTTCTGAATATTTGCTAAATTAAATAGTATCAGGTGAACTGAATGTAGAATATGGAAAGAATGATTGATTGTCAAGGATGATTTCTAGGGTTTTGAGATGGGGAAATTAGGAGAGGAACAGGTTGGAGGGTAGGAATCAAAAGCTGTTTTTGGTCATGAGATGCCTTGGACTTCCAAGTGAAAATGTAGCTAAAACCTCAGGGAAGAGGTTGAAGTCAAGAAACAACTTTGCTTTTGACAGATACTAAAGGCTGGCAGATAATTCTCAAGAACAAAATTTCTCCCACATTTGAGAATTTACTGGCTCAATTCTTAGGAGCCCCCAAAATAGGTTCAAATAAATAAAACAGGTTCAAATTTATTCCTCCTCTGGGTTTACTGCAGTAACACAATTGGCTAGTATACATCTAGTATGTGATAAACTCTAATCATAACATTTACATGTTCTTAGTTTCAGACTAAGATAACTGATTAATTTTATAATCCACATAGAAAAAATATAAGGCCTAAACCTAATACATTCAAAAGTTAACATAAATTTTATTAGAAAAACAAAGTTTTAATAAGCCTAATAGGTAAAGAAACCAGGAATCAGATCTATTTACATTATAGCTGACTTATTCCTCCCTCCCCCTTTTATTCTTTATCACCTAGATACTTAGTCACCAATAAGGCCACAAAGTTAGATATTCATTTTCAAAATAGAATTTATTTCTGTAGTAAAGAATTAAAATATGGCTGTGAAGGTAGAATATAGAAAAATATTTAAAATGTGCAACAGTAATTCTTAAAGTTAGTTAAGCACTAGACTTTATGCTCAACTTCTACTTGAAAGACCAACCAGTATTTTATATATTACTAACTATACCAGAAAAAACACCTACCTGCAAATTCAATTAATTGTTTTAACTCAAACAGGTTTATATAACTGGTCAGGCCCTTTTGAAAATGTAAGTACAAATCTTGGGGATACATTCTTTGAAGTTGGCCTCACTTCACAGACTTATAAATCTACCATCCAAAAGTCACAAAGATTAATCCCTTACTAATTCACCCTTATAATTAAATCAACATGGAGGAAATATGTGCTTTTTGGATAACAAAATGAGATATATGTTGGTATAAAAGCTGGCAAAGTACCCTAAAACTTGGATTCCACCAGATGAGTTTTAAATTCAGACACTAAACACAGATGAAGCAATATCTAATAAATTCTATCCATCTCTTCCCCAAAGTTTTACTTACAATTAAGATAAAGGTATTTGTATGCAGAACATACAAAAAGAATTAGAAAATGTTTGGATAAAGAGGGATGTGAACTCTTTAGGAACTATTGTTTGCAGTTTGCAGAATAAGATAATCTTCTCTAGGAAGAATAATGTCAACATAGCAGCACTATATTCATCAGGAATCCCCCAATGGATCAATCATGTGCCAGGAAGCCAAACCTTCTGGCTGCTCACAACATCACTCAGCTTCCCTTTAATCTTCAGGAAGTGTCTCTTGAACTCCAATCCGTCACCCTATATTAGGAATAATATCGAAAAATGTCAAAGAAAAAAAAAACATGCCATAAAATCAAACTCTCTTTAGTGGTAAGTAGAAACAAACATCCTTAGATATGTCTAGCTACAATTCCCTTTAGGTTATCTTATGAAGACCAAATATCCTGGTAGAGGAAAGTGGACTTTATTTCATGTCCATCACTATTCCTACCACACTGAGCTCAGAGAGGGGGGAAAAAAATGGCACCTTGTGTTTCAAGTGTTGGTATTTCTGGACCAAAGTCATCATTTTCTATAGGCAATGAGGGGTTTGGAAACTAAAAATAAGCTAAACATCTACAATGAAGTCTTGTCATAATAATATGGCAACAAAGTCAATACACTTAGTTATGAGAAGAACTTCATTACACTAGGATCTTAATAATTTAATTCCATAGCAATCATTTGGAAAACAGTATTGCAGCAAATTCTCCAATATAACAAATGCAAATTACCCCTCCAAACTTCTTTAGAGCCACATACAATCTCTCAGGAAACATAGAATATGTTATTTTGGTCTTATATATCAAGGGCTTTAAAACTATGACCTTACAACCAATAACTTCTAAAGAAATAATAAGAAATGTGAACAAAAATCTATGTATAAGAATACTGGGGCCAAGCATGGTAGCTCACACCTATAATCCCAGCACTCTGGGAAACCAAGGTGGGAGAATCACTTGAGGTCAGGAGCTTGAGACCAGCCTAAGGAAGAGGGAGACCCTGTATATACTAAAAAAAAACAAAAAAACAGAAAGAAATTAACCGGGCAACTAAAAACAGAAAAAATTTAGCTGGGCATGGTGGTGTGTGCCTGTAGTCCCAGCTATTCGGGAGGCTAAGGCAGGAGGATTGCTTGAGCCCAGGAGTTTGAGGTTGCTATGAGCTAGGCTGATGTCACAGCACTTTGGCCCAGTCTAGCCCAGGCAACAGTGAAACTCTTCTCTCCACCCCCCAAAAAAGGTTTATTAAATTATAATGTGCAAACATTTTTACAAATCATAATTTTATAAAAGATATGTATGAATTAAGAAAAAGATTAACATGCTTCAAAATATTAAAGGTGATTACTGCTGTGCAGAAAAATCTAGGAGTATTTTTATTTTTGTATTTTTTACTGATCCACATTTTCTACGAAAACCAAAATTTTTATTACATAATAAAGAAAATGTCATTTTTAAAAAGCAATGTCTAGAAAAATAGATAATGATAACAAATGTTATAAAATTAAATGAAAAAGCAAGTACCATATAATTACAAATGCCACATATATAATATTCCATTTTTAAAAATTCATAAATATTCCATAGAAAAATACCATAATGAATATATGAAAAATACCTTAGAAAGCGGAAGTCAACCATATCTTCTCATCCATTTACCAAATTCACTTTGAAAATGAGTTATGTTTTCTCCTATCAGTTGTTGATACAGTAACCTAGGGCAACAAAAAAAGATAAGCCATATATGTGAGTAAGAATACTCTAAAATTTTCAGGCTCCTTCCATAACAAGAGTAGCATCCAGTATGCTGAAAATCTCACTCATTGCAGGTTCTTTTCCTCCTGATAAGCCTATGTGTCCCCAACCCAAACCAATCTGTCAGCAGGGTACAGCTACTTTACAGGGATTAAGTCTTGTGAGTCTTAGCAACAGAGAAATTTTGATTTTACAAAATACCCACTGAAGAATCAAAAAAAAAAACATGAGAGGAAAAACAGATTATTAAAACATGACAAAAAGAGATTTGTGGCTGAAAGCTAGACAGCAATCAAAGATGGCGAAGGCCTATGAGGCTTTGCAACTCCCATTTCTACACGTTCCTATGGCCTATAAAGAAGCTCAGGCTTTGGGCATGGTGGCTCATGCCTGTAATCTTAGCACTCTGGGAGGCCGAGGCAGGCAGACTGCTCGAGGTCAGGCAGGCAGACTGCTCGAGGTCAGGAGTTCGAACAACCTGAGCAAGAGCGAGACCCCGTCTCTACTCATAAACAATAATATGCATAAATAATAACTAAGAAAAAATAGCTGGCATGGTGGCGCATGCCTGTAGTCCCAGCTACTCGGGAGGCTGAGGCAGCAGGATGCTTGAGCCCAGGAGTTGAGGAAGCTGTGAGTAGGCTGACGCCACAGCACTCACTCTAGCCTGGCAACAAAGCGAGACTCTGCCCCCCCCCCCAAAAATAAGATGCTCAGGCTGCATGAGTGATGTGGAAAAGAAGGCCCAGACAATGACTGAAAGGGATGGCCTTGCAAAATTAACAGGAAAATATCTAATCCCACAATTTCCTAGTAACAGCTAAAGATCAATCTAAAAGCTCTCTCTGTGGTTTTCTTTCCAGACAGATACCCTGTGGAGCTCTGTTTCACACTTCTGAAAAAGCAGAACAGACAGAAAGGAGATGTAAATCTTTCTCTTTATATATACACCAGCTCACTATTTTTTAGAATTTTTTATAGGAGTTCCTGAAAGCTCCTGGATAGACTGAAGGAAGTGGGGTGTGCACAAACTCCAGCCTCAGTTTCCTGCCCAACACCATGTCTCAGGGGCAAGATCACATCCCCTGTGATAAGCCTGACTACATTTGAGAGATAACCAAGTCTTCAGGAGAAAAAGAAACAGGAAGATGGACAACCTGACATCTCACAGCTGCCTCCTGCAATTACTCCACAGCTGCCTGTTTTCAACTGGCAACAAGCACTAATTTTTTTTTCTTCTCTCTTTGTCCCTATAAAAGACGCCAGCTCTTGTCCTTGTACAGGCACCTCCCTCTTTTTCCCCTTTATTTCCTTTTCTCTCTGCCACTCTCTCACTCTCTTCCTCTCCTTCTAAAAAGATAAAATAAATTTATACTTTATATCTTAACCACTATGAGCACCTACTAAGTTTCACTCTTAACAATAACTAGTACCAAACTTGTGGGTAAGGATGCCATCAGTAACAATAAAGACAAATGACTACAGCTAAATAAATGAGCCCAAGCAAGGTCAGCAGAAGATTTGCCAGCTAAGCCCAGCCAAATTACAAATGTGAATAATTCCACTTCAAGAAACAACTATGAAACATATACTGTATCACAAATGCGACACTGAAACAACACATTATGTCTTGGAAATTAATACAAGATATTCAACTCATCTGAATTAATTTCTTAAACTTCAAAGACAAAGATAATAGTTTTAAGAATTTAGACAGAAAGAGTGAGAGGAGTAAAATAGCTGAGTAAAGAACTCAAAAACCCATTATTCTACAAAAACAGTGAGAGAATTGGCAAAAACTGTCAGAATCAACTTTATCAGTACATTGTCAACACTATTAAAAGCTTGTGGCAACACAGAAACACTCATTCAAAAACTAGTGATTCTCAGAACAGTGAACTTTCTGGCATTGTATATAATTTACCCTGTTCCCATATCCTGCTGCTCACTCAGTACCGTGTTTCCCAAATTAAGACAGGGTCTTATATTTATTTTTCCCAAGAACACACCTTAGGGCTTATTCAGGGAGTGTGTTATTTTTTTAAGTATGGTACAACAATCTACATTTATTCAAATATAGTTGTCTTCTGGAACATCATCATAACTCTCCAAACCCCAAATTCCATCCTGAATTTCTTTTTTTTTAAGGCGAGAAGATATACATATTTAGATAGCCAGCTGGACTTGTTTAGATGATCCCAATTTTGTTGGCAACATCCAAAGCATCATAATCAGGAGCCAGTCGAACACATATGCCTTCTTCTCTCCACAGGCCTGATCAGGGTGTTGACCTTGGCCACATCAATGTCATAGAGCTTCTTCACAGCCTGTTTGATCTGGTGCTTATTGACTTTGACATCCACAATGAACACAATGTGTTGTGTCTTATCTTCTTTGTGGCAGACTCAGTGGTCAAGGGGAACTTGATGATGGCATAGTGGTCAAGCTTGTTTCTCGGGGGCTCTTCCGAAATATTGGGCTGCCTCCAGAGCCCCAGTGTCTTTGCCGCCAAAAGGTGGGTGATGTACGGATCTTCTTTTTTTTGTGGCTGTGATGCCTTTTAGCACTGCCTTCTTGGCCTTCAAAGCCTTTGCTTTGGCTTCAGCTTTGGGAGAGGCAGGAGCTTCCTTCTTTGCCTTCGGTGCCATCTTGTGAAAAGGCCATCCTGAATTTCTTTCGACTCTGTTTCCTTTAGTACCATTGGCCCCAATCTCTCACGTCAAGCAATAGAGCTCTCATGGGGCAGATGAGAAGGGCTGTTTGTCTTCTTTACTGCTCTACGAAATGCATGGGTTGTGCGGATACACTGCGTAGTCACACCCATCACTAGGTCTTATTTTTGGGGTAGGGCTTATATTGAGCAAATGCTTAGAAATCCTGCTGGGGATTATTTTATGGGTAGGTCTTATTTTCGGGGAAACACGGTAGCAGCCTAAAAAATAACAGTTCTGCATTTCAGGTGTAAGTCTGGGTGGGAGCAGGATAAACCTAAACCTCATTTACAAGCTGTCTGCTCAAAAGACTAGTATTTATTTTCCCTTTGTAACTGTAACTCACCCTAGTAGCTAAAGCTACTACGGGGGCATTTGTTGAAAACATTTACAGGAAAATGCTTTAGTCTTTATTGCCTGAAGCAATGGATAGCAACTGGGGCAAACAACAGACTACCCAAAAAGCTCTGAAGGAAAGGCTAGGGAATAAGACGTTTTTGAGGAATAAGACTTGAAAAGCTCCTGTGTATACCTGGGAATCTAAAAGGCCATACCCATGACCAGGCAGTGCACATGCTCAGGAAAGGTCTGAGAAAGCCCTAAGCTCTAACCTTGAGGTTTTATGCAAGCAGATGGTGAGGGCTAAGACAGAGTTGTAAACTTCCTGGCTGAGTATTGCAGCTGTGCCTCAACACACACACAGAACCCCTTTGCAAATACTAGGAGACTTTTTTTGGTTCACTGAACTTAAGGAATTCTCTGTCCAATCATTAGTTGACCACTAAGCTAG